GTTTCTTCTTTGTTTGAGCTTTAATTTCGTCAAACCTTGAGCTATAGAATTCTCTCCTGATTAAGTCCTTCATTGTGTGGAAAGACATCGGACGGTTCATGCATTGCAAAATCGTTGTCCCCTTCTCAGCAAGTGTGCCAGCAAGCTCATTGCCTTTAATGCCACAGTGATCAGGAATCCATTGTAGGACCACTGTTTTGTTTTTCTCTCTCAGCAACTCATAGAGTTTTCTACATTCCTTTATCTCAGCTGTTTTGGGTGTCTCTCTGTTTCCAATAGAGTTTATTGCTGACTGTGAGTCCGAAAGTATCACTTTTGACTTCTATTTTGAAAATATAAATGGTGCTTTGAGACTTTCTATTTGCTTCGAATTTCTGGTGATATGAAAATGATGTTCAACGACGGACCCCATTAGATGAAATGTGTCAAAACCATTTCTTACACCCAACCATCTCGTTGTTCCACCAACACCATCTCATTCCATTTCAGCTTAGCAAAAAATATGAGGCCGAATACCTGGTGAAATTGAAAAGAAAGGAAATTGAAACGGAGCAATATAGGGAGACTGTGAGGGAGTTGAAACAAGTAAGCTGGCCACTGTTTTTTTTGCGATTTATACGTTTATATAACGTGATTTGTTACGGAAATATATATGTATATGTATATATAGCAAGTTCAAACTAATAGCCGAAGGCTGTCAACAATCGTCAGCAATCGTTCAGGGAATGTTACACCGGCGGATGAAAATGCCTTCAAGAGGATATCTTGGAGGAATATAAAGCAGGATTCCGCTGAGGAGGAGCAGACCGACGCTGAGAAGGAGCTTCGAAGAGAGTCTGAGGAATTGCGAAAGAGCCTTAAAGAAGCTCAGAAACACCTCATGGAAAGCGAAGCAGAATTGACTCAATTGCGGACTATAGTTGAAACGCAATCATCTCAGTTGCACATGTATGCAAAAACCTGAATTTTTCTCTATTCTAAATCCGATTTTTTTCATTATCTTAACATTGTATTTATTTTATAATAGGAAGTAAATATTCTATTTTTCATTTAAGTGAGAAATTGCGTACTTCCACAGTCGTTGAGGAAAAAGATCTACTCTATACTCAAATCCAAAAACTAAAGTGAGTGTTTAATCCTTGTTTTAATAATTGCCAATTGAATTGATTTTACTTAATAAAATACCCAATTTTATTATCTGTTTTTTTTTCAGAGAAGCACTTCGTGATGTTCAGGGAAGGCACGCTTATCTACAAGGCGATTTTCATGAAAAGGCTCCAGTGGGTACAAAATCTACATATTTTTAACAAATTTGCTCGAAACCAATTGACATTATTGATTTTTTCTGCAAACAGGATCTTCACATGCCGCCATGGCAACGAGGTTTGCCTTATTTTAAATTTAAAAATATGAATCGATAATCTATGTCCTCGCCATCTACAGATAAGCTCTTTTTATGTAGATAGTGGTCAATGGTCCGGATCAAACAGTGACGTGAGTTTACCTGTTACTAATAATTTAATTTAAAATGCAAAGTTGAGGCGGATTTAACTCGTGGAAAATGCTTAAAGAAAACGCAAATATTTGTAAGCAATTTTTTTGTTATAAAGTTATTTCTTTTAAAAAGAAAATATGCCATCTTAAGATTAATGCAAAGGCTTACTCACTGAACATAACCGCTCATGTACCATTCCTGGGGAAGCTGTTTTGGCTGTCACTCATGTGATCAATAAAGTTGTCAAAACAGCTTCGATTTTCGAATGTTTGCGAAGTCAATTGGTGTAATAAGTAGGAAACGCATTCACAGAACGGTAATACGGTTCTATTTTTTTACAAATTATTAACCTTGGGTGATCTTTAAACGGACTGCCTTTCACCTTAGGTATTCTAGTCATGACAACTCGTCTTGTCGTAATTTAAAATGCTCAGTAGTTAAATGTTTAAATCACCTCGTTTCAAAGCCCAACCATTTTAAGTCTATTGAATACATATTTATCCACCTATGAAGTCCATGAGAGTTAGCTGAGCAAGTTCTCATGAAGAGCTAAATGTATGCGGAATTGCGGAAAATTACTCCTGAAGGAGTTTAATCACAACTACACTAGTGATTGTTTTTGACAAAAAGCACATCACTTCAAGATTGTTTATTCTCATTGTGTGGTCTTTGAGCTTTCAACATTTTAGTTAAGGGTAGAATTTTCTGAGTGATCTCCACAAATTCCTGGCTGCACAATAATCAGAGATTGCGGTTAGGTCGTTTTGGTTCCATGTTGCAGGAGGTGAAGAGAAGGTTGACGGTATTAGTGAAAAAGGCTGGATCTCGGTTTAGGTGAAACCTGGCTAACGAAATCATGGAATGCATAGACATGATAACCTTGCGCTATGAAGACGCAACCAACTTGCTTTATTGATCAGTAAAAGGGTTTTTAAAAACAAGTTTGATGAATGTTAGGCAAACACTAAAAATGACATCGATTCAAAAAAATCTTTTTTTTTTTCTAGAAAGTCAGTGCGCGCACACTTTTACGATGTGATCATTGTGAGGGTGTGAATTCTCAAAGTTTCTTGTGATGAGTGTTACATATTATAGCCTAACATTTGAGAAGTGTACTCTTTACGATTATTTATTGGAAAAAATAGTAATTGAATTTCTTGATTGATTTATGATTGATGGATTTTAAGATACAACTTATAAGAAGTTACTGGTGATACTTGTCATGTGATATTACGATGTAGAGCAAAAAAACCTATTCAATGAAATTACTTCCTCATTTAACAAGCCTTGACGGGGTGTTTTGAGTGACCACGGGCTTTCTATTGGTCAAAGTGAGCTAGTCAATTACACCCAGGAAGGTTGAATAATTACCCAGTAAGAACATTCAACTGTTTGAAATAGACTGATACCATTGAGAAAGTACGAACAAAGAGTTAGGAAAATAGATGACTAGCTAATGCCTAAAATGCTCACAGAAACCACACATTGTCTAATAATATATCCTCAATATATACTAAATCCACGCATTTATAATAATAGAGGCCCAATCTGGATCCAGAAATGGCAAGCGTAACAAATTGGTCGAATTTTGATGGATTACAGGCGCCAGATCGCATTTTTCGGGTTGTAATGGTGGGCGAATCCTCCGTAGGAAAGACCTGCTTCATGTATCGATTTTGTACCGGTGAATTCTACTACAATGCCCGCGCTACCGTTGGTAAGTTAGTGAAATATATGAAAAGTGTGAAACGTTTTTCAATACTCTTATAAAAGACACGTTCGGTGCGGAATTCTACTAATTGCCCTAAATTTTAACCTTTGTGGACCCGGGGTGCAATTGATTAAATGTTAATTTATTCATTTGCACCATGCAATTGATCGTTGTAAAATTGTTTAATACTATCCAATGTGTTACTCTTAACCTGTCGAATAGAAAAGAGATGACATAAAGGATTTTAAACCGTCGAAAGAATATAATTTCTCTAAGTGGAACTATCTTCTGTACTTGGCTTGAAACCTGAACCGTAATGGCTGAACATCATAGTCAAACACTTCCATAATACCGGCAACGAATCACGAAGTAGGAATTTTCGTACTTGAATTTTTCAATCGTACAACCGGTACCTTGAAACAATTGAAATATAGACATCTAGTTACTTTGAAATTGACTTCTGAATCGTTTCGTTTCCCTCTCCTTTAGGCCACCGATTTTAGGTGCTCCACAAAATCAAAATTTGTCACATTTTTATATATTTTTGCGGGTAATGGTGCTCCCCATCGTGTCAAAATAACAGCACTTGTAATTGCTTTAGTTCCGATAGAAAATATAATTGAAATTTAATTGTGCACATTTTGAAATCGAAATAGTCTCAGTTATGTAGCGGATTGCTACTTTGTTAAAGCCTGACTGACTCAGAAATCTCTATGGCAGATTCTCCTACTTCTAGCTAGACTCCCAGAACTAGCTAAGCTATGGCCCAGCTATAAAGAAAATGGACGTGTAGCACGGAGCACACACAGGGAGCCACTCATGATCAGGATGGGGGATTAGGTTAAACAGAGGTTGATGATTGGTCACTGTTTGTACGGTCGCTGCACACAGAGTTGTACGCCGTACCTCCCAATCCTGGCAGCAGACATGCAGGCATACGATGTCCTCCCAATCCTGGCGAGCAGACATGCAGGCATACGATGAAATAACGTGTGCCACAGTTTCTTCTACACAATTCGGAGCCAAAATGGTCAAGGTCATTTTCATTAAAGACCTTATTGAAAATTAATCTTGATTGATCTAATTAAGTAAGAGTTAGAATACCAGTGAAGGAGAAAGTAAAGGTTGCAAACGGAGTTCTAATTGGTTGTTTTATTTGCAAATTCTTACCTTTTCTCCAGTCAAAATGTCTGATATTTTCCACAGAATATTTTAAGATAGGCGTCAATCAGATCTGACGAAAAATCGATACCCTATCTTTGTTTGCTCAAACAAGAATGGTTTTCTTTTAGCTGTGTCACATTTATTGATAATATCTCATGTTATGTAATTAAAAATGGCACGAGACTACGTGCTTTCAACCCCGATTTGATGAGTGCAATATTTTCTTTACGCATTTGATTGAAATTTTGATCTCTGAGGGGCAAATCAATCAAATATGCGATCACAGGAGGTCTTGATTTCCACTTTATTCTCACCTTCGTCCAGTTCATCAAGTAGACAATAGCTACTTTAACCACCAAACACCTCCTCGCTGTTTCATCTTGTCCTATTCATGCACTGGGCTGGTTTTCGTACTTTACTTAAGAACGACCATTTCCTAATATTTCAGATAAACAACCTTCCGGACCAATCCTATTTATTTTAACTGTTTGTATGATATAGTTATCTCCACTCCCACCGTCCAACTGAGTTTATTGTTGCTGGTAGCGATGACTTCGACCCATCTCAGGCTAAACGATTAGCAGTTTAATACCACGCTATGTGTGTACTATGTGAGACGCGTCTATCGAGTGAATTTTAACTTCCACTCGAATTTTGTGATCAAGAACTCTTGAAAAACCTTCCCTTCTTAGGATCGAATTTTTTGCATCAAACTTTCTTTGGGAGGAACCAATTGACTTTAATGATATACGTTTAACTTGCCATTGTCATGGTAAATGTGTTTATCACATCAGTTATTCAGAAACATCGTTATTCCTCAGATCAATAGGTGCCGAGTTTAAATTGCAATATAATTCTTCTTCTTCTTCATTAACTTCTGAAGATATTGAAAGTGTACATGACCCATTTACGACGATTCAGAAAGGTTGTGGATATTCAAAGCTCCGTGAACCAAACGGAATGTTTAGATTGCAGTCTCACTTAAACCTCAACAATGCTCTCTTGAAAAAAACCCTCCTGTTTAAAATTGCTCCTAAAACTAACTCATCTGTGTGAAGAGTACCAAGGACGCAGAACGTTTGGAGCGAAAGAGATTCATTACAAGTTATGGCCTAACTGCAAACACATGAGAGGTGCAAAATAGAACCATTTAAAGCGACTGAATGGATATTTTTCGGCAGATTCTCTGAGAAGGCTTCTGCGTGCCGCACGCACTTGCTCGCACGACCGCACTTTCCGGAATATTCCACTGTGCTCAAGGTTACTTTAATAGGCCTTGAGCGTTGTTAGGTAGTCACAAGGTCGAGAAGGCAAGGTAGTACTTCAACGGCAGTGGGTGAGAGAAGTCGTGAGTCGAAATATACAAGAGGGTGTGATATTACGGTTAACAGGGCATTGGACCGAAGACTGGAAACAAGGGGTGGAATGGTGTACTGTATCTTTCGAGAAGGATGAATGTTAGCCCTAGTTACACACACCACATGAGGGGAAGGGGGAAGTGAGGTTGTACAGAATGAGAGTTATCTGGGGGAGGGGGGTGGAGTCACACTGAGGTGTCCAATTAGGACATATGATCAGGTCTCGCAAACATGTTTTAGAAATTTTTCTACTCATCACAAATGGGATAATTTTACCAAAATCTTGCTACCCTCATTAACCCTACTCTACTATCAAATTCAAATACTAATATAACCTCATTTTAACTCAGGCTTACGATTTTTTTGTTTTCAATTCAGAAGTTGAGTTTAAAAAAAGTTCTAATCTTAAGAGCTAAAATGCTAGAATTTTTTGTCATTAACTTCATTAATAAAAGTTTTTTTTGTATTCCCCCAGGTGTGGATTTCAAAATGAAGAATATGACGATCGACGGCAACGTATATACCATCGAAATTTGGGATACAGCCGGACAAGAAAAGTTCGTTTTACGATTCACAAAAATTATTCTTTTATAAGCAAGAGAGAGAGAGCTATTGTTTTGTCAATGGTTCAAATACACTGCACCCTTCTAGATATCACAGTCTTGCAAGGCAGTACTTCAGGAAATGTGATGGCGCCATTCTTATGTACGACGTAAGCAACCGAAGTTCCTTCAATGGAGTTCGAGAATGGGTCAACATGCTTGAGGTAAAATTAGGCCATTTTCGTTTTCCTATGATTGGGTCAAATTAGCTAACTTACAGCAAACTTTGAGCTATATTACTCGGTTATAAGATCTGTAGCGGATGCTCCTCAAATAGACATCAACAATCATCTTGGGCAAATTCTCCCACATGGATTTGCTCCCGAAGCGGAACATATTGGCCACTGAAACGGAAGTTAGTCATTGAGAAATACAATTAGAGCTACACAATGAAGTAGCAATTATTGATTGGTGGTTGACCGAAGGGTCTCTCTACTCACGACTGCACGTCCTCGTTGTGGGTTCAATGGTCTGATCCCACATTCCAGACTACTCGAGAATGAATGGGATTTAAACTCGTTATTCCCGTTTGGGGATTACATAGATGATTAAAACATTTAAAGGAAATTCGATCGCTTAATAATCTTGAAATAAATCTGTTAATACATTTTCAAGTTTTTATGGGCTACGCATGTTATTGATTAATCAATCGTGGGTGTTTTTGCCTTAATCCTTAAATACTAGATGATGTAAACAGGCTTTTTCTTGTTTTTATTTTCCCCATATAATTAAAGGAGGGCTGTGGAGATGCCTATCTACCGCGAATGTTGGTAGGAAATAAAACGGATTTGCGAGATGGTCCCTCAAATTCCATGAAACCTACCTCCTCTGCCTTCATTTCCACTAAGGAGGGCGAAGATCTAGCAAAGGTAAATCAGTTTAAAATTTTGCTGTCATTCACAACCACAACAGAGAAGAATTCAATTGCACCAAAATGAAATGGAAGTGAAATTGAGAAGGTAGAATAAGTAAAATATTTGTAGTGCAAGGCTCTCAAGATGCCCTTGGTTCTAACTTCAAGTTTCGTGAGGTAATAATTCGCAGAGTCAATTATAAGTTGTTGTTCGATTGTCTCAACAATTCTTCCCGTATCCACGTGAAATGATGATTAATCAATAGATTGGTTTGAGAGACTGGCTATATTATTTTCCTAACATACCTCCCTCTTCTAAATCAATATTTTCAAATTAAAGACAATAATTTTTAGTAACAATTGTGACATGAGTTCGTTAAAAGATTATTATTACTAATATTTCAAATGATAGGCCTTTTGAATGGTCATCATTAGGCATTTAGCTGACCACAGGCTTCGCAGAGGGAGAAACATCAAAGTATGAAAAATTCGAGATGGGGGATAAGAAGTGTGATTCACAGATGTAGAAGAGACAGACAGACGCAAAGGCAGGGAAAAGGTGAGGTGAGTACTGTGAAAGGGTTCGAATATGACATGGAGTGGGGTCATGGTAATTTGAAGTCAGAAGTCAACTGCCGGTTTCTAGACTTGAATGCCGTATGAGTATACGTTACCCGGGGTGCACCACGTGGAGGTAAGTCTATCGCACACCCCATTCGTTAAAAGATAGCTTGAGTTATTTGTCAATACACCTACTACTACATTATCTTTAATGGAAATTTTTCTTTAATAATCTTATGGTACAAGTTATGAAAAACAATGAGACTTATTTAAAATTTTATTTTTAGGTCTACGACGCAGAGTTCATGGAGACCAGTGTGCTGAATAGCATAAATGTGGATGAAGTCATAGTGCACTTGGCAAGGTAAGTTGCAGCTTTTTCCATTTTTGTGTGTGTGTGTGTGTGTGACTCCAAATTCTCCCACACCTTATTGTATCATATGAAAGCACCACATGGGTGAAGGAATGCACAAAATCGATTTTTTTTTAAATTTTAATGTAGGCGCGCTTTATTATTGGAAGAAAATTAGACACCCAATAAGTTAAGCCTTAGGCTTTCACGTGGCCTAGAAGCATCGAAAGAGGTTGATAATGGTGTAATCTCATTGTAAATTCGAATATTCTGGAAAATTTTATCTAGGCAAAGTGACTGGAATCGGTTAATGGATGTAAAGTTAAGACAATAGCACTCTTTACTTCATTTTAATTTGCAATTCAAGCGGCTTTATAACTCCTGTTCTGAATTTCAATTTTCACGATTCGTCTCCTTAAGGAAGAAGGAATTCTAATCGCAATGGCTGGCTCTTCTTGGGTGATTGTTTATTTATGCTGGTCTGTTATTCCTTCCAGAATGATTTTACAGGATATTAAGCGGTTGTTAAGATCTTGGCATAGCAAGTGCAAAACCGAACACTCCAGATGATCAATCAAATCCTCAACTTTAGAGACAACGCGATTTAGTTTTCTTTAAATTGAGTAATTATATATTTGGTTCGTTATTTTTACCATTGGCAGTATAACTATTCACTTTGATGGAATCTGACTTAAAATCCCCTAAACGGGAATTCTTGAACTTGAGATGACATCAAGAGCATACGATTCATGTCTTATTGCCATTAGTACGGTTGTAGGTGAATTCACTTTTTTTGAACCCACATCGATGAATTGAATGGCATATTTGGAGAGCACTCAATTAGAGGTATATTCATACTCCTGTTGCTTTAACGAATCCGATTTCGAGATTTAAGCAAGTGGATTGATGTAGAAATTCTTGCCCAATTAAAGACTAAAATGGCCATTTACTCTTCTTTTCCCAGGGCAATGAAATATCGCGGTGACTGTGTGAATAGTGGGATCAAAATCGGTAAAAAGAAGCAAAAGAACTTCAATAACTGCTGCTAATGACAACCCATTCCAAATAAGCGTCACACGAAGATGCCCACCTCAGAGTGCGAGAAAAGATCAAGGCGTTTCAAGGCACGCTTTCCCACTCTCCTTCCTCTTAGATCCAAAGATTGATTCCTCATTCCTTAGTGTACAAAGAGATTACTAACTTTGAGTACATTAATATTATTTTACTTATAGGTACCTCTAAATACTCCTTGTGTGTGTGTGTGTGCGTGCGTGTGCCTGAACCCTAATTTATGGAGTTTCGCTTTGAAAGCTGAAGCCAATTGGCTGAGTAAGAGGCCATGAAGCAGTTCAGAAATGGAGTATTTTCAACGCTTTGGAATGACAACGAGAGGATGTTAGGGGGTGGGGGGAGGGGGGCTAAAATAAAGGCTTAATAAAGGTAATCAAACTTTTCAAAGATGGTGATTAATAGTTACCCACGTGTCACAAACAAAGCTGTAATGCAAAACTTCAAAGTATGCATTTATTTACCATAATAAGATTACCCATAATTAAGGATTAATAAGCAAGGCCAATGATTAACAAATTGTGTTGAAGGAAAATAATCAAAATTGGTTCACTTTAACTTCACAAAAAATGACGCGTTTAGAGTAAAGTCATGAGATCAGAGTCTTTGTTAATTTGAGCTTTGGTCTCGGATTGACCGGTATTTATCCTGAATTCTACAGGCTGGGAAGACAAGATGACTAGCCCTATTTTAATAAACACAGCGGAGGTGAGTTGGCTAGTTTCTAACTTTGACGAACATGAGTAACAGGCTTTATTCAACTTCGCTATTTTTGAAGCAATAATCTTAAGGGAAAAACTATTTAAATAGTGATGGAGGTTGGTGCGCATTCATCCAACTGACTCGTTATTCACACTCCTTTCGAAAAATTTATTTATTTATTTATATCAAATGGCAGGCGTCTTGATGGTTATCATTAGCCCTTTAGTTGACTTCAGGCTTCACAGAGAGGAGGAGGAACATCAAATTGAAAATAAGTCGATATGGGGGGGGGGAGGGAACAGAAGAGTATTTCAAAGAGGTAAGAGACAAACGTAAAGGTAGAACAAAGGTGAGGTGAGTACTGTGAAAATAGTCGAATATGGCATAGAGTGAGGCGATGGTAGTTTGAAGTGAGAAGTCAACTGCCAGCCAATAGACTTTTTTGCCGTATAAATATACGTTGCCCAGGGTGCACCACGTGGAGGTAAGTCTATCGCACACCCCCCTTTCGAAAAATA